TGTTGGTGAAAATTTAAAATTCCGTACATCAATCAACTGCAAACAAACAGGTACAATTTTAAATTTTAAAGGGTGCATTTCCACCAATTGGTTCTGCATCTACGGTAAAGCGGTAAGAAAATATCTAAGCAAAAGTGAGGGTTGAAACTTATTTTGGCAGCTCGCTTTTGCATAAAAAAAAAAAAAATTTAAAGGTCACAAAAGACAATTCTTTGTTAGTGTACTTCGATAAGTACAATACCTATATATACTTGGTTAAAATTTTAAATAAATACTGCTTCTTACCATACCATTACATACATTACCGATATACGTACATATGTACACATATTGTACATAAAATTATTATTTACCACCTATTTATGTACATGTACATAAAATAGTTTAACTCTCGCTTTCACGTCGATTATTCTTAACATATATAATTCGCGAAGTTTCAAGCAACACTCGCCTTTAGAGGGTTGGAGTAGAATATATGTATATACAAAATTATGTATATACAAAATAAAAGAGATAAAGCTTAAACGGAACTAATTTAAAAGCGGTAACTATTTATTAAAAGGAAGAGAAAAGCGAGAGAATTTGTTTTTTCTTAACGCGAACACCGGAAAGTACAGATCCGAACACTCTTAACTCGTTGAAAATTCTAGAGTTTCTCACGCGTCCTTCTTTGTGCTAAATTCGCAACTTTGTTTGTTTGCCACTAATAAAGCATATTTATATGTACGTACATATAAATTACATATTATCGCTACGATTAGCGAACACCTAAAATACTTCCGTATTTATATGCTGTAACGCGTGTGTGAATTGAAAAAATAAAAATAAAGAAAATATATATATATACATCAAACACATAAAGGAAAACACAGAGTATCAGAGCAGCAGTGTGGGAGTTAAGCTGAACAACAACAACAACAGCGCATACGCATTCGAAAGGGTGTCTACCCAGCAACCAAACAACAGTGGGCAAACATCGGCCAAAAAATTTAAATAAAAATTTGTAATTGGTGTTTATAAATAAATTATTTGCTTTTAATTTGAATTGTACATATAATAGTTAGTTAAATAATAAATATCTACAGTGAATCGATTGCAGTTTTGGTGTATTCTTTACAGCCAACCCTTAAAGTTGTGACTGTTTATAGCAAGTGCGTGTATGTTGTTGCGATAATTACAATAGAAAGCGCTAATGAAATAAAGATTTTTTTCTGACACCTTTTCTGTGTGGTAAATACTGTGCGGTTTCAATGCAAGCAGTTAAACGTAAATTGGAGTTCGTTTAAGTTTTTTTTTAATTAATGCTCATCTGATTCGCGTTACAACTAAAGCAATTTTAATCGTCCAATAACACAAAAAAATTAATAGATAATTTAAATAATATGTGGTTGTCCGGTGCTTAGAATTTATAAAGAAATTCGGTGTTTCTCTTCCATTTTAACGTTCTAACGCTGCACTTTTTTAAAGTCTCGATCATTACTGAACGTTCAATAATTATTTCATTAAATATTTATTTACAAAGCCTTTGTCCATCGATCATTTATCGATGTATATATAAATTTCGTTCGGACTTTCGAAATCAATTCCTACTAGACGTTCGGGTACTTTTATTTTGTGAATTATCGATTCATTGCTAATCCTTTCACGAATATTTCGCTAAATATTCCCAACACAAAATTAGTTGTGGATCTCACTTGTCACTGAATTATATTTTCATATTTTTTAAATTTTATCTAATATCAAGCAACTGTCGAAACTATAACAACTTTATTCAAACATTTTTGGATTTTATAAGAGTTTTTAAATCCTGCTGTAGGATTCGATCGCTTACCCAAGTATTTCAAACACTATAAAGATATAATCAATCGCTAGTCGATTTATCAATCAAATATCTTTATCGTCCCTTCTTTAAGTTGTTTCAAATAATTGTTGTCATTTAACAATATTTTCAAATCTTCTGAAAATACAATGGCATCATTAAATCAATTCTTTCAAGCGGCAGATGCTCTTTTGGAATTCGAAGCAGGTATTACGCCCACAATCACAAATCAAAACACTTTTAATAATAATAATAATAATAAACTTTTAACCTCGAAATTCAACAAAAGGAGTTAAAATCGGTCTGGGCAGAAGTTAAGGCTGAATACAAAAGTTGTTTGTCGAATTTTAATACAACGGATACAGATCACGAGGCTACTGTAGAATCCATCAAGCTCAAATATTCCAACTGCTACCAAGCATATGTTTGCTGCGGAGCTTTAATGGGTGAACACATACATAATCTCACAGCCTTTAATCAAAGTACAAATTCGACAATTTTTCAACCTGAACGGATGGTTGAGATGCCAGTGCTGCCTAGTATCCACCTACCTCCATGCGATACCGAAATATTTCATGGTGATTATCTACAGTGGCCCTCCTTTAGGGACATGTTTACCGCCATTTATCGGAGCAACGCTAGATTATCTCCGGTGGAAAAACTTGTCCATCTTAATCAAAAAACTCAAGGTGAGGCGAGGGAAATAGTACAGAAAGCTCCCCTCACTAATGATGGGTTTGCGTTAGCATGGGCGAATTCAACTGCGAGGTATGAAAATAAACGAGTTCTTATAAACTCTCAATTGAAAATATCGTTCATTTTGCCACATATCTCCTCAGAGTCAGGAGCAACGCTGAAAAAATTGCAGCGCGAAATTAATAGCTGCATTTCGGCGCTAAAACTGCAGGGCACAAACATTGAATGTTGGGATGCGGTTTTCACATATTTGTGTTCAACTAGGCTCCCCGAAAATACTCTTGCCCTATGGGAACAAACCCTGGAAACAAAAACAGAGATACCAAAATGGGTGGACTTAGACATATTTCTAACCAATAGGTTTCAAGCGCTTGAAACAGGGTCCGATCTCAAGGGAAACTCTAACGTCCATCCCAAAGCCAGCATATCAGCTAATAGTAATCGGTCAAACAACTTCAAGCAATATAATCAAATGCGAACAAAGAAAGTAAATACCCATCTCGTTAAGACGCATAATATCAGATGCAAAATCTTTTCTTCGCAAAGCTCATATCCTAAAAACTTGTCAAAGGTTTTTAGAGATGAGTCCCAATGCAAGACTTAATGCCGTGAGAAAACACCAATGCTTGTCAGATGCACATGAAATAAATGACTGCAAGAGTAGTTTCACGTGTGCCAAATGCAAAAAAAAGGCATCATACTATGCTTCATAGAGAGCAAATTGAAGAACCGTCTTCCTCAAATACAGAACAGACGTCGACTAAGTCCCATACGGCATCCGTCAAAGCAAATACTTCCAATTGCCCTGTTGACAATAAGCGATGTATGCTCCTAGGGACTGCCATGGTGACCATTTGTCACAGAAATAACATATGCACTGTCAGAGCCTTATTAGATTCAGGATCTGAGGGGACTTTTATCTCTGAAAGCCTACAAAAGCGCCTCAATCTGCCTAGCAAAGGTATACGCGCACAGGTATCCGGGCTAAACGAAGCCATCTCTGGAAGGGTACAGCAAGTTTGTACCTTCAGCATTGGCTCCCCTCGTAACAAGGGTTTCCGAATAAAGGGGGATGCTTTGGTACTTCCAAAGCTGACAGGTCTACTGCCATCACATTCAATCAGTGATGCTATTTTAAAAACGCTTCCTGACATCCCACTGGCAGACAACAACTTCTTTAAGAGTCAACATATTGACTTATTAATTGGTGGAGAGCTTTATCCAAAGGTTATTTTAAATGGGATAAAGAAGAATATCCTCGGCTCTCTCATGGCTCAACGCACGGTGTTCGGATGGATCCTAAGAACTTAAACACCACTTACTCAACATATTTTAATGAGGTCTCACTAGATCAACAACTCACCAAATTTTGGGAGTTAGAAGAAGTACCAAAGACTAAGCTTCTTACGGTCGAAGAAGAGCAGTGCGAGCGGTTCTATACATATACCACCTTCCGCAATGATGAAGGTCGGTATGTAGTTTCGCTCCCTTTCAAACTTTCACCTCCAAGGGCACATATAGGCGCTTCTCGTCATATCGCGATGAGGTAATTTCTAAGAAGTGAAACCTCTCTAAGCAAAAAACCCTTAATAAAGGAGGAATACAGCAAGGTTCTTCAAGAATATTTGGATTTAGGTCATATGCACGAAGTTCGATATGAAAAATTCGAAGATCCTTCTAATAATTACTATCTTCCACACCACGCTGTTCATAAACCGGAGAGCACCACTTCGAAACTGCGAGTGGTATTTAACGGGTCTTGTCCCACTTCGAATGGAGTCAGCCTAAATGATATTTTATACACAGGTCCTCCTCTCCAAACCGATTTGACAATTTTAATTGTAAGGTGGAGATTACTTAGATATGTATTCAATGCGGACATCGAGAAAATGTACCGACAAATAGTCGTGAACCCCAAGCACACCACATATCAAAGAATCCTCTTTAGAGATTCTTTAGAAGGGGAGATCAAGCACTTTCAGTTAGACAGGGTCACCTTCGGTCTCAATTGCGCACCATATTTGGCAATTCGCACTTTGTTGCAGCTGGCCAAGGACACGAAGTTGAAATATTCCCTAGCATCAGAAATCCTTAACTCTAGTACATATGTGGATGATGTTCTAGCTGGCGCACATGACATACCTGAGGCAGTTAAAGCACGAGATCAACTTATTGAGGCCTTAAACTCGGCAGGTTTTCCACTAAGAAAGTGGACTTCAAACAGCAAACAAATTCTCTTAGGCCTGCAAAGAAATCACCTACTAGCTACTGACTTTCTTGAAATACATAATACCAGCGAGGCTAAGACATTAGGCATCCGATGGAACTCAAAAACGGATCAGTTTTATTTCTTGGCAAAATCTTTGGATAACAAA